CAGCCAATCGCAGAGGCCGCCCCGCTCGGCGCCCGCCCGCGCCCGGCCCCCGCATCCTCGGGAGCCCGCGGCCCGCATCCTCCGCCGCGGTCCCCCGACCCTGGAGTCTGGCTTTGGGGTGAGGGGCTCGGTGGGCGCTCGGGAACGCTGACGTCGAAGGGTCCCCACCCCAGACGCCGCCTGGGGTCTCCGCCCACGGTCGGAGGAGGGCGGGGGGTCGGACACGTTTCCACCGGCGCCACAGACACCCTAACCCTGGGGCGGCGGGCGGAGACGCCGCGGGGACCCTCGGCTCCCTGGGAAAGTTCCAGCCCTTTCCGAACTCGGAAGGCGGCCTGAGGGACCAGATCTAATTCCAGAAGCGAAAGGGCAGGAAAGGAGGTTTGGAACTGACCTTCCGGCTGGAATGCAAAGATAAGGGTATTAGCCTTAAAAAATAAAATAAACAAAAATCCAGAGCCAGCCGCCAAAAAAAAAAAAAAAAAGTCCGGAGCCTTTTTTTTTTGGGGGGGGGGTATGTTGCACTGGCGGCCCCCAAGGGACAAGGATTAACCCAGGAGGGGTGGCTACCCAAACTGGTCCCTGGGAGACACAGTGGACTTTGGACTAGCAGGCAAGCTAGACGAGGCCGAGCAAAAATAAGGCTGAGCTTTTCGATTGAAAATCCATTTTTATTTAATTCCAAGATTTAACGATGGGATTTGACAGAGCCAAATCACCTATTTGGCCATTGAATCCGGATTAAAAGACGTAAATTACTGTACCCACAAAAGATGCTAACCACAACAGAAGGGCAGGGAACCCAATGAAACTGGGCGAATGGGGGCAGAGCACATGACTGGTAATAGTATTTTAAAATTAAAATGATTATAATGCAGCCACACACACCCCCCCAACACACACTGTATACCAGCAGCCTTGTTTAGTGAAAACTCATGAATGGATTGCCGGGGTGCATCCGGTGGACAGCCCTATTTGAGGTCTGAATCCGGAATAGCACTGGCCTATCAGGATGCTTTCCAGTGAGATCTATTTGATTCACTTTCACAAAAGATTGAACCTGACCACAAGCACACAGCCAAAATGCTTCAAGAATGCAGTCCTCACTTCCCAGGAGAAACGTGGAAGTTAAGAGTGTCTTCTCAAAACTCTTGGTCGCTAGGCCTTCCTTTTCACAACGTTGAATGGTAACAGGGAAATAGGATTAAAATTAGTCAAAGGGGTGCTTTTTGTCCCCTCTTCTGGTTTTAGGTTTTGTTGTTATTTGCTTTGGGTTTTTGTTTGTTTGTTTTGAGACAGTCTCCCTATAGCCCCAGCTGACCTGGATCTTGCTATGTAGACCAGGCTGACCTGGACCACACAGAGGTCCTCCTGCCTCTGCCTCCTGAGTGTTGATATTAAAGGCATGTCCTCAATGCCCGGCTAAAGGAATGTTTTTTAAATGACTAATAAATGACCGGATTTTGCAGCATTTTACTAACATCCTAAGGGAAAGAAACCATGAAAACAGATACAAATCTGTATTTAGTACAAAATGCTCTAAAATGGGTGTCTTTAAGAAAATGGAAAGCAGAGGGTCATGTTGTTATAGCTGGAGGCCTAATGTAGAGATATCATGCAGTAATTATGCATTATAAACAAACAGTTGCTTTTGAAATTCACAAAGTCTATTTGAACCTGATCTTTGGGTCCCCCACATTTGTCAAGGGAAAAGAGATGTGAAAGGGGTGGATTTACTGCCATGGAGGTGAGAACACTTAGAATAATGGTATAGAAAATGACCTTATTCTGTGGAAGTTAACAGTTTCATCTTTCAGACATGCTTCTAACCTTCTGCATCTTTTAACAGATCCTTCCATATTAGTCCATGTTCTGTTGCTATAGTAAGATACACGAAGCAGGCTATGTTTTAAGAAGAAATATATTGAGCTCACAGCTTTAGAGGTTGAATGCTCAAGATCCAGTCACCCCATCAGAGAGAGAGAGGGCAGGGGAGGGAGGGGGAGAGGGTTCACATAGTGGAACAGGAGGCCAGAGAGATTCAGGAGCCAGGCATGTTCTTTTTCTAACAACTAGCCCTGTGGTCCCTCAGAGACTACATTAATCCCTTCAACAGTGAGCACCCAGAAGTTAATGACCTTGCATAGACTCTACCTCTTCAAAGTTCCACCTCCCTAACAGCACCACACTAGTGACCAGACATGTGCCATTTAGTGACCAAGTGTCCACTACGTGAACTTTTGGGGGACACACTCAAACCATATCCAACCCATAGTACCCTCTTTGCACAATAAGGAAAATTCTAAAAGGGCAACAGTTTCATCTGCTGTGGTCACTACTTTCTGCTCAGCTCCCCAAACCCCGCTTGACACTTGGTTGGGATTCAATGCACTGTTGATGAATGAACCGACTGGTGGAGGACCTGTTTCAGATGTTGAGGTCTCCACCTCTTGTCCTTTACATGTCACGAAGCTTGTCTAAAAGATGGAGTAAGAGGGCAGAGGAGCTCTACAAACAGCGTTTGCGTCCTGGATCCAGGCATGCCTGAAAGCCACATCACGCTTTTGTTTCCTTTTTAATTCCATTCTTGACTCCCCACCCCCTTCTTTTTGCTTAAATTATTCTGAGTTGGCTTATGTCACTTGTGACTGACAGCCCTAATACATACAGTGAATTTGTTATATGCGTTATCTGTATATTTTTAAATCTCAGACTCTGCACTCTGTGTTTTACATATGTTATTTTACTTACTGTTTACCACAGTCCAATAACCCAGATGGTAAACAACTGTGTTCCAGATTGTTTGAAGATGGAATTCGTTGAAATTATCTTGGGGTTCCACTTGAAGGATTTAAATTGAACAGAACAGAGAAGTTTCTCCTTCCAGCTTGGAATGACTACCAAGACAGATGGCTGAGTGCCTTCTCAGGAGTTTAAAATAGACAGATGGCTATTCCTCTGGTCTCTTCCTTGTGGTATTATCTACTGGTATTTTTGACCATTTGATAATGACTCCAGTAGATAGGAGGAAGTGGCTCGACACGTGACAAGGTTTTGAATCTAGTGTGCTAGATGACTCCATGACACGTGGTCATGGAGTAAGTTCCTGAGTCTAGACTCAGTGACTGAAGTGAAATCTCAGAGTTCGTCTAGTGCTGTGGTTTTCCATTCTCTGGCTATATTGGAAGAACTAGAGCTAAAAGTCAAGAAATGGCTACAACACTAGTGTATTAGTTTCTCTAGAGGAAGAGAACCAGTAGATTGGATATATATTAAAAGGGGATTTATTAGATTGGCTTAGATGATACCATCCAGGTACTCCAACAATAACTGCAATGGCTGTCTTTACCCTGGGGAGGCTGAGAACCTGGCAGCTCCCATTCCACAAGGCTGGATGTCTCACAAGTCCCATCCTGGTGCTGAAGGCCTGGAGGATTCCTAGAGAGCCACTGGGTGGTGGAGCTACTGAAGGAATGCAACTTCAGCAGTGGCAGTGATAGAGTAGATGACCCTGCCTGTGAGCCTGAAGGCAAGCAGGCAAAAAGCAACCTTTTTTCCTTGGACCCCCTTTTACCCGAGCTGCCACCAGGAGGTGCCACCCACACTTAGAGGGGGTCTTCCCACTTCAAATAACCTGATCAAGAAAATCCCTCACAGGTGTGCCCAGTGGCTTGCCCCCCCACTTTTAGCTGATTTCAGATCCACTCAGGTTGACAACCAAGATTAGTCATCACAACTACTGTGATGATTTGGAATAATTTTTACCAATAATTAACATTTAGTAAGACTTTCTATCCTGGGCAAGGCTTTCACATACTTTATCTCATTTGATTCTAGCGAATGTCCTGTGATCCAGTGTAATTTGAACCTTGGCATATATTTGTGGCAGCCTTTGTGTGTATGTGTGTGTATATACTCACAGCCCCAGGGCCACTATGGTATTCTTTAGAAGTGAAATGGTGTTGTGGCCTCTCTTCTTCTGCTTCCTCTGGAGAGCACTTGTAATAGACAGGGAAAAGAGGTACTCTTGAGAGAAAGGTTCCCATCAAGTGTGGGTAACTCAGGAGTTAGGGTGCTGGACAAGTGTCACATAAAACTTCACATGAGTTGGTGGCTCTCTTCCAGTCCTTGTCTCACAAACTTAAAGGATGAAATTCACAGAGAGCAAGCGGGATGAGTTTAAAAGGAGGGTTTTTATTTTTCTAGAGATCACAAAGAAGAGAGAGTAACACTTTGTTCAGGAAAGCAGAACTTCAGAAAGCAAGCAGAGCTCTGAGGGGATCCCAAAGATGGGGAAGCTCATCGAGCTGCTTGCCTGGGGGCTTTTTATAGACTTATGGCAGAAATTGGACAAAGACTGATGTCATGTCTTTTGAGATTGGTTGACTCTCAGAACATATCTGAAGACGAGCCAATGGAGGGCCCGCGCTATTCGTGTCCCCTGGCCCAACCAGGGAGATGATCACAGACTCTGCTGTTCACACTGTTTGCTCAATTAGGGGCCTGGACACGCTTTGAAGCCCTCTTCATCTCTGCCGTGCTTGCTAACTTTTGGCCTTGACTGTTGGCGGTTTGCCCTGGCTGGAGTTGCTGTTGCCTGCCTTGCAGGTGTTGCTGGTCTGAGACCCTGATGGGGTCTGCTAGCTGTTAATCAGACCGTGCTCTCTTTGTTCTCACGCTTACGTGACCAGCTTGTGGTTTTACTGTAGAGCTAATTCCTGTCACAACTCTATGGATGTAGCTGCAATTTTCCTTGGTTAACTTGTATCTAGCTCCCTATCTGAGGGGTCCAGAATAGGTGGAGGCTTTTTAGAAATCATTTTAACCCATATTAAGACCGCTACAGTTAGCTGCATTGGAAGCAAGGATATGTAAAAGGCAAGAGTGCCTTGAGTACATTCCTCAAGGAAGCTGGGCTTGAGGAGCCAGTCACCTGCTGGTACTGGCCA